TAAGACAGTATAACTGCTAACTGGCCTTGTGGATTTTGCATACTTTCATAAACTAAAGAAACTATAAAGTATGAGCAAAAGTAGAAATAGGAATTTCATGTGAAATCCCTGAAGGACATAGTTGTGCCATCAAGCCTGGAAATCCCATGGATACAGAGACCCTACAAGATGGTTGTATTGTCCATAAGCTGTAGTTGACACTTTCCACATTTTTGTTTTTGGTTAATCTTAATCATTGATATAATCATTTTATTTGTATGAATGTATCATTGTTTTTTAATTTATGAGCTGCTCAGAATCACATTAGTGAAATTCACTGCTATGCAAATAAATAAGCAAATGTTTTGGAAAAAAGAACAGGATAATTCTAGCAATGTTCAAGAAATGATATTTGATCAGGTGTGTTTCACTGGAAATAAGGAAGAATAAATGTTGAGATGTATAAAACAAAATAAAATCAAAATCTGAAATAAGGAAGAATAAATGTTGAGATGTATAGAACAAAATAAAATCAAAATCTGAGCCAAAGGCCTTTATATATATAAAACATAAATAATACAAAGGAAAGCCATTAAAGAATCTTATATTAATAATATTGTAGTTACAGCATTCCATAGTATATTGTGTGGATCTACCATTTATATTATTGTCTATGATGATGATACAGAAGAGAATATCATCTGTATTTTTTATTATTGAAAAGAAAAATTATCTTAGCAATTCATGGAGGAGCAAGTTGAAAGAATACAAATATTTTCATTGACATTAGGAGGCAATGGATTGATGAACTTTGTACTGTGATGTTTCACTATAGTGAAATCATGCAGGAATCATGGTATAAATAGTGGCATTCCATTCTCTCTATCACCTCTTCTAAATTATAGATGTTGATCGAGAAGCATCTACAAAACAAGAATGTATATATGGTAATCTAGATAACAAAGCCAAAAATTAGGAGTTCAGAAATTGGCACTGTGGGAGCTCTTGTTAATCAACTGAAATGAAATCCTGAACTATTGACCAATCGTTATCTTCGTGTGCTAAAGTAATGCGCTACTCTCCCAAGCTAAGATGTTAATAATTTATCGGGACTTCTGGTGGCAACGGCCGCGCCGATGGCGGCTTTTTTTCAGCCGTCCGCCCTGGGATGTGTCAAAGCCAGATGAGACAGCGAGCAACGGCAGTGTTGCAGCTCGGAACCTCTCTCCCTGGGAGAAGGGGAGGAGGTGAACTTTCCTCAGATAGTGGTAGAGACCCTAAAGGTATTTTTGGGTGGTCGGAGGGTGAGAGCTCCCACAGAGTCTGAGGTGTTCTCCACATTCCAAGATGCCTTTGCCTTGATTTTTCTTCAGGGCAAAGCTAGATGCTGCTTCCACATCTGCGCTTAAAATGAATTTGTGAGTAAAATTTAAAACAGAGGTGACCAGGAAAGATTAAAATTCTGGAAAAGAATTTATCTTCTTTTTTTTTTCAATTAAGAGTGGTGAAAAATGGCGCTGAGATGTCGATTCTTTGAATGAAAGGACCGGAACTTCTATTTGGAACAATGTAATAGATTTTATATTTATATAAAATGCAAGAATCTTCTTTTTTTCTTTTAAAGGGGCTTTTGTCTTTTTTCCTCCCCTTCTTTTTTTCTTTCTTTTTTTGGTATTTGTTGATTTTATGAGATTTTAGCAGACTTTTTAATAAGTGGTCTTTAAAAATAAAATGGCTTCAAAGCGTCTCGGAGCTTCTGTTGTTTCTAAAGCCTCAATCTTCCCAGTAATGCAGACAGCTCAGCAAGCTAAGTTTAAGGTACCACCACTTTCTCCATCGTCATCAGCATGTATACTTAAAGATTTACAGGATGCCTTGGGAAATATGGCACGACAGATTAAAGAAGAGATGGATGAATTTTTTGAAAATAAAATCAGAGAAATGAGAGAGGACATACTGTTTGCGTTTCAAAAGTTTGTTGATCATATAGAGCATCTGGATGATCGTATTGATGATGCTGTGGAAAATTTTGAAAAATTGGAAGATCGAATTGACAAAGTAGAAAATAAGGTGGAAATAATACAAGATGAAATTACTATGTTACAGTATAGAGACATGGAATTTGCTTTAAGAATAAGGGGAATGAAGAAAAACATGCAAGAAGATTTGAGACAAGTGGTGGTAAAAGATATAGCTTTCATTTTGGGGGCTGAGCCTGAAGAAATACTGAGAGATACGGAAAAAGTTTTTAGGGTTAATTCAAGGGTTGCAATGCAGAGGAATTTGCCACAAGATGTGGTTATTTATTTTTCTAGGAGATCACTTCGTAATGAAATTTTACAGGCTTTTTATAAGCAGAGATTTCAAATTGCAGCTCAAGATGTTATAATTTTAAAAGAAATACCTTCAAAAATTCTTAGAAAAAGAAAGGATTTTGCTTTTCTGGCTGACGAGCTCAAAAAACGACAGGTCCAGTTCAGATGGGAGATACCGCTGGAATAGTGGTGAATAATGCGGAGATATATTATAGACTTAACACAATTTCAAAGGCGAAAGATTTTTACACTTCTGTTTTGAAGGCAGTCTCTCCATTATCTTCATGACCTGAGATAATAGAAGAAAAGTTGGAAGAGCAGCCGGTTGATGTAGGAGACACACAGGCTGAACCTCTTGCAGCAGTCTTTTGTGACAGAAGATTTTTTTAAAGAAACCGAGAATGACTCGTGCAGCCTATAGACGTAAAGAAAAAGAACAGCAGAAGGTGGATGTTGGAATAAAGAAAAGGAAATGATGAACTTTTGTAGTAGTTTTTTGAGATAGAAGATGTTTTAAAGGAATAGTGAATGATTTGTGTAATATGTAGACGTAAAAAAAAGAACAATAAATGTTAGTTTAGCTGGTAGTTTGATTTAGTATGTTTTAAAGGATAGTGAATGACTTGTGTAGTATGTAGATGTAAAGAAAAAGAATAATAGAAGGTGTTGATTTAGTGGAAAAGTTAAATATTTGGGAGTATATATTATAAATTTTTTAATCTAAAGTGTATAAAAATAATTATGAGATATTATGGGTAAAAGTGTAAAAGAATTTAAATTCTAATGATCTCTGTTGGTGAGAATTTTAGTGATTAAGATGAATGGTTTGCTAAAACTTTTTAAGTAGGAGGGTATTAATAAATTTACTTAAGGGTGGGAAAAAAAGAGCAAAGAGCCAAGTTTATTGAATGTAAGTTTGTTGGTGGGGTTATATTGGAGGGAAAATCTTGTGTTTATTATGGATGAATGATTGTTTAAAAGAAATATACACCTCAGCGTGGAGAAGATGGATAAATTACATGTAGAGTAAATATGGGATTTAATGGATAAATTATGATTAGAGTTGATATGGGATTAAAAAGTATTATTTAGATTATGAATAATTTTTAGTTTTTAATTCGGAATTGCTTATATTATTATTCTTGTTTTTTTGGCATAAATTTGTTTTGTATTCGAGTTAAAGTATATTATTGATTTTGTTATTTGTATAGTTGGATAAGCTTATTTAGAATTTGCTTGTTTATTCGTAACCCTGTAACCTGCTCTGGGAAGTGAGGGGGGGAGGGAGGGAGGGGGTTATTCTAGGGGGGGATATTGTTAAAAACTTGTAAAAAGATGTTATAATTTATCCATGGCAAAATAAAAAAATATATTTTCTGCAACTAAGGAAACTATTTTATAAGAAACATTAACAATACAATAGATTGGTGAAAATAAAGCACAATTCACAGATTGAACCTCCTGAAAAAAAAAATGTTTTAAATTGTTTCCTACAAGTACAAAACACTAATTGATATGAAGAGGCATCATGCTGTTAAGGTGTCAGTCCATTGAAAGAAGCCCAAAATCGGTAGTTCACTCATACTTTTATTAGGATCAATAAAATGACTTGGATATTTTGAGTTCTCTAGGATTTTTCTTCTAGCAAAAGTATCATGAGTGATGGAAGGAAAGTAACAGAAAAGTTCAGTCAGGCCAAGTATCAATAACAAGCTCAGTTCAAATTCAAAGTATAAAATGTAGACTGTGTTTCATGTATTATCCATGGAAGTTCTCACTTTACTGTATAAGATTAAGCCTATTTTTAAAGGACAACAAAAACAGTTGCTGCCTTCGATACTTTGTTTTCACGCCAAAGGAAAAAGTATATTTTTCCCTTGTATAGTTTAGGAACTTAGTTCAGTGATTCCAGTTTGTTTTGAGCCAGAAACGAATTGAGATATATTTGCATGAAGCTACATGTAAGGTTTATTGGCTGTTATTTACTCTGTTTCCTGTTTTTTTTTGTACACAAACATAAAGAATTAAAGTCACGTACATCTTCATTTAATTTAAAAGATATGTTTCTTTTTATTCAACAATATAGTATTTATTCCCAAATAAATGTGTTTACCCTTGGACCAAAGAAGCAAACTTTTTTATTCCTGGACATGCAAATAATGTTGTGTTTACATGTATTTTAAATGCAAAACTTATCTACTTGAAGTATTTGTTTTTTAAAAACATAGTTGTCTTTATAATAAATCAGAAATGTAGATACAGTTATAACGGTATAATGAAATTGGAAAGGAGCTGTATATTTTAAAATTAAAATAATTTTGGCCATCTAAAAATGGGTTGGGAAATATAGTCACTAAATCCCTGGTGGAAATTACTAAAATTCCCCCATTTCTGAAGGAAAGGGAATGTATTGATTTTTGCTTCTATTTTTATTAAATAGAGAATTATGCAGTACTAGGGATATTCTGCATTATTGTTTCATGGCTAAAATTAATTTCTAATTAATTTTTATAGGTCATTTTAGATAAGTTTATCTGATATCACTATATTTCCTAAACCAAAAATAGCTTATTAAAATATTCATTTATATTGTATTTTAAAATAGGAATGTTGGCTATAGAATAACATGTAAATGTATTCACTTTTCATTATGAATTTTTCTCTCCCAATGTAACTTGTGAAATAATATATTTTCTTTACTAATAGCAATGCATCTATTTGGCCTCAACTGGCAATTACAACAGACTGAAAATGACACATTTGAAAATGGAAAAGTGAATTCTGATACTATGCCAACACACACTGTATCATTACCTTCTGGTGAAAATGGTAAGAGAACATCTAATATGAATTTAGTTTTTTTTATTCCGATATATCAAATTTCTTAATATTCTCTGTTATCAGAAATCTAAAATTATAGTTTTCTAAAGCTATCTGAATAATTTTGAAGTGGGCCCTCGCTCTCAACCCAACTCTTCCAGGATTCTTCTGAGGAAAATAGGCAAGAACATTATGTACATCATTTAAATTGTACAAAACAGAGGTGGGATAGCAATCTAATAACAAAATTAAAAAAAGAAAATACTTTCAACATTTTAAAAAGGGAAAAACAGAATTATTGAGTTTATCAGATATTAAATATAGGCATTTTTATAGCAATACCACTTAGACTTATATACCACTTCATAGTGCTTTACAGCCTTCTCTAAGCGGTTTACAGAATCAGCATATTGCCCCCAACAATCTGGGTCCTCATTTTACCAACCATGGAAAGATGGAAGGCTGAGTCAACCTTGAGCCAGTCAGGATCAAACTGCTGCAGTTGGCAGAGTTAGCCTGCAATACTGCATTCTAACCACTGTGCCACCACTGCTCATATTGTATAGTTGTAACTCAAATCCTGGCATGATTAGATCAGCCTCTTATACACCTATATATGCTTAAATTGGAGACAGTGATAACAATATTCAGGCTGCGTGTTTATCTTTTCCAGATACCAATTCTTCTGGATTATAGATCCATGCAATTTGGTTCTCTTGGAGTTTTTTCCAAGTTCTTTTTAAAGTGCTGTTTTCCTATAGGTGGTAGCAGTATTCAATATTCTTTTAACTATATACAACAAAGGATGTTGTGTTTTTGCCAAACCATGTACAGTATATTATTCAGCTAGGATATGCATCTTCTTCCAGTGCTGCATTTTTCATGAATCTTTCCCTTGTGTTATGAATTGAAATAGTTGATATTTCTTATTGTACATTATCTGTCCTTTATGTCTTTTCATGCATAATATAAGTTGTCCTCAAATTATGACCACATTTGGGCTGGAACTTCCTTCTCTAAGCAAGGCAATTGTTAAATGTGTTGCACCTAATTTAATGACCTTTTTGCCACAGTTATTAGGCGACTCACAAAGTTATTTAGTGAATCTGGCTTCCCATTGACTTTGCTTGTCAGGAGCTATCTGGGAAGGTCACAAATGGCAATTAAATGACTCTGGGACGTTTCAGTTATCGTAAATACATTCTGATTGCCAAGTGCCCAAATTTTCATCACATGAGTGGAAGGACACTGCAGTTGTCATGTGTTGACCAGATACAAGTCACTTTTTTTAATCACCATCATAACTTTGAACAGTCACTAAATGAATAATCATAAGCCAAGAACTACCTGTATGTCATTTTCTGGGTGTAGGGATAATAGATGGCAGCTGGCATCTTTATTCAGAAGTAAATATTTTATAGAGATGGCTCCAAAGAAAAAATAAAGCATTATACCAGGGCTTTTCAACCGGTGGTATGCATATCACCTGTGGTACATTGGCACGTGGCAGGTGGTACATGACCCTGCCTAGCCTAGATAAGTGTAGCAGGGGAGGAAACAAGCTAAAGCAGCGCAATGCATGCATTTGCCATGAGAGAGTCCTCAGGAGCTGCAGGGCTGCTGGGCTGAGACAAAGGCCCCAGAAGAGGTTATAAAAGGAGGCAGTTTTGGCCTGAGAGGGAGAGAAAAACAAGACTCTGGAGAAAGAGACAGAAGAGAAAAAAGGCTTTTGTCAGAGAAGGAGAAACAGAGGGGGGGGAGGCTTTCTGGGAGAAGTATATGTAAGAGACACAGAGGAAAGGCTTTCTGGGAGAAGTGTGTGTGTGAGAGAGGAAAGGCTTTCTGGGAGAAGTGTGTGTGTGAGAGAGGAAAGGCTTTCTGGGAGAAGTGTGAGAGAGGCAGAGGAAATGCTTTCTGGGAGAAGTGTGTGAGAGAGAGGCAGAGGAAACGCTTTCTGGGAGAAGTGAGAGAGAGCAAGGGGCTTTTGCGAGCAAAGGGTGAAAGAAAAAGAAAAAAGTGAGAGGGAGAAGGGAAAGAAAAAAGGCATTGACTTCTGACTTCCTCTGTTGCAGTAGAAGGAAGCATTAACATTGTATCTCAACTTTTTACTTTTCCATAATATTATAAACTAGCCATTTCTGTAATAACAAATGAATCCCCCCTTTTTTTAAGTCATCAGGGTTTTGACACTTTGCTAAGCACTGGTGGTACTGGAATATTGTCATGTCCTAAAAGTGGTACAATCTCTGAAAAGGTTGAAAAGCCTTGCATTATACCACAATTTGAATCGATCACAAGTGTTATATGTGAGGTCCTGAATGTCTGCAGATAAGAAAAGGAATTTTGAAGATTCCTAGATTCCTGTTGCTAGTTAGTATTAGTAGTACTGACTTAAAAGGGTACTTTTTGTTTCAAGTATAAGGTATCCTTCTGTGTTCTTAAGTCGAATCAAGTAAGTTATACTGACATCTGGGAGTGAATTTACACTGTAACAATCTTTTAAGTCATTCTTTTTTCTCTTTGCCCTGTTTTCATATCTGATCTTGACAATGCTATGTTCAGAAAATAATGGAAACACATGAGGGAATCAATAAATAGCCAGAGGTCAAAACATAGGGCACCACTTGACCAAAAGTAAACAGGAGTCAATGTGCTGTATGAATCAAAACTAGGGAACAAAAACTGAGATTCCAATGCCAAGATAACTGAGGATCAGGAACAATACTTATATTGTTACATTCTAGTAGTACAACTCAGTCCTTGGGATACATCAATAACCAATTACTTTCCGATGCCTCTTCCATTTCTACTTATTCTAGTTTAAGTAATTTCAGGAATGTAAATTATTTTTTTTTCTAAATTGCATCCTAGATCCTCAGCCTCTATCTATCTGTACAAATATGTATTTGCTATCATGGTTTCAGAGTCTTCCAAATATTTCAGGCTGAAATTCCCATAGTCCGCCTAACATGCTGTTAAGCTATTCTTAAATAAGATAGCTAGCCTTCTCCAACTCAGTCTTTATTTTCAGTTCTCCTTTGAAATAGCATACATATTGAACTGCTTCCTGTACGTTCAGTATCTCTTAAATTCGAATTGCATTGTAGTCAAAGGATATTAAGAGAAGAGCTTTGGAATTTTAATTTGATCAACTGAGGTGGCAGGGTGGATAGTAATAGTAATAGTAGTAAAGTTGGAAGGGACCTTGGAGGTCATCTAGTCCAACCCCCTGCTCGGGCAAGAAACCCTACACCATTTCGGACAAATGGCTGTCCAGTCTCTTCTTAAAAACTTCCAGTGTTGGAGCATTTACTGCTTCTGGAGGCAAGCTGTTCCACTGATTAATTGTTCTCACTGTCAGGAAGTTTCTCCTTAGTTCTAGGTTGCTTCTCTCCTTGATTAGTTTCCACCCGTTGCTTCTTGTCCTGCCTTCAGGTGCTTTGGAAAATAGCTTAATTCCTCTTCTTTATGGCAGCCCCTGAGATATTGGAATACTGCTATCATGTCCCCCCTTGTCCTTCTCTTCGTTAAACTAGACATACCCAATTCTAGCAACCGTTCCTTATATGTTTTAGCCTCCAGTCCCCTAATCATCTTTGTTGCTCTTCTCTGTACTCTTTCTAGAGTCTCAACATCTTTTTTACATCGTGGTGACCAAAACTGGATGCAGTATTCCAAGTGTGGCCTTACCAAGGCATTGAAGAGTGGTATTAATACTTCATGTGATCTTGATTCTATCTCTCTGTTGATTTAAAAAAAAAAATTTAAAAAATCGGGTTTTATTTAAATTGGACTTTTTTTAAATTGGATTTTTTTATTTTTATCAAATTTATTTTAATAAAATGCTTTTGGAATAAAAATCTATCTAAAGATAGTTTTCTATTTAAGATACATTGATAATTTAGTTTATTTAGCATGAAATAGAGCTTAATTATGTAGAATGAGGCTGTATATTCTGTAATATTTACAATTTTTGGTAAACTCATTCAATGAATCCAAGCTCTGCAAGCTGAGATAACATGCACTGCATTGATGCATTCACACAATTTCACAGTAATCATGAGATAAATCATAAAACAAAGTTTAGGAATATTCCTTTATCCCATTGTTTTGCAAATCTATGTACACTACAAACTGTATGATTGTTTGAAGAGAAATGCATCTATACCAGGCTCTGTTTTAATTAAATAAAAGAATTTGAGTAGTTTTCCAACTATGTGTGTTTAGCCTATTAACCTAAAATCAGTTCTGATATCGCTGTTTTACTGACCTGATAGCTTATTATTCTAAATAGGAAACCTTCATTTTGTTTGCAAATAATAATATTAAAGATTTTAACTACCAGCAAGAATGAGTCCTTCCATTTAAAGAGTACCTGTCATTTCAGATCCATCCTGTTAGCGGGCATCTACTCACCTGCTGCCTGCCATGCCCCTCACCTTGTGTCACTGCTGCATCACCATCCGTCTCATTAAAGTGAATGGGACTGTCGGTGAGTCAACAGCGGGTCAGAGGAGGAGCCACTGCGGGACAGAGATGACAGTTGCTCTTTAAAAATTATGATTTAAATCAAGTTTACTAGTGATTTAAAACAACTTGATTTAAATCAAATCCATCCTGTGAGATGGTAATACACCTTAAAATTTAAAAAATTGATAATTTTCTTGGCAATCTTTTAAGTGGGAATTTTGCCCACACACTTAATTGATTTTATACTTCTGTGGAGTATGACCTTGAAATTTTGGAAAAAGCAAATCAGTATAATGATTTAAGATAGCCTCCAATAACTAGTGGGATCTAAACATTTTCTGAATGTCTTGTGGATCTTTCCAGATAATCCAGCCAGTGTTTTTGTTGAGGCCCTTTTCTTACAATGGGATAGTGAGGTAAGACAGGCTGTTGATACAGTTGCACTTAAGCATTAATCACCCAGAATTGCTGGAAGGTAGTAGCATATAAATGTAATAAATCATCATCACTTTCTTCGTTATTGTGGAGACGAGAAGGCC